ACTTTTAAGTAAATCTTTATTTAGGGACTTTTTCTAAATATTATTAGTTGTTATTGAATTAATGGTTACATTTTAATAAGTGGCTAACTACTTTAAAAAAATTAAATAAAACCATTGGTAGCAAAAATTAAGAATTAACATTATACAACTACATATTGCAGATCCTTTGGAATGTAAGCTTGTTGTAGAAATCACGAATTGCTGCGGAACATGTTGGCACTATGTAAATGTCAATGATAATAATCAATCTTTTTGTCTTCTTTGTTTTGTTTTTTTGGTAGGGATATCTTGACTTGTAACCAATCGCTTAGTAGAAAAAAAAATATTAATACACAGTCAATCATGGGGTGTCAAAAAGCGTATCCTTCATTGGAAAAATTATAAAATCAAGAGCTAGTAAAAACGGTCACTACAGCACCGCATCAGTTATGTTTATAAAAAATATATGTATAAAATACATGTCCATTATTTACAACTTTCATACTTGTACAAACACTTTTGCGAAGATTTTGTATCTTTGTACTGCCACCTTTAAGCAAGGCAGATTAAATGTATTACAAATGTCATGCTAAGGTGTTAAATTGGCATTTAGCCGATTATACAAGTTCAAAACTTAATATCAGAAATGCTGGGCATTATATGAAATATTCAGTCACTTCTAGTGCTCGTAGCATCATCTGCCTTCCCGAGTGTTTTTGTGAACTTCAATACAGACAGGTGAGTATGCAAGCACAATAAAATGGGTCAGTAAGCTTAAAACTCTGTAATTTAACTTTTAAAATTGTTTTCTATGATGTTCTATAATTTTAGAATATTCTATAAAACATTCTTACCTGAACTTTGCCATTCTTATAAACACTGCAAGTCACAGTTCGGTTGAACACCTCCAACTTTTTTCTTGATTGTTTAAACATTGGCTCGTGCAATATATTGAGAAAGGGGTGGATCTCTCTTAATTGCTATACACCCATCCACTCCATACACTTGAATATTTCTAAATTATAGAGAAGTTACAAAGGTTTCAAGAGTATAATCTTAGATTGCAATCTAGTACTATGCTTACTGCTCCTGTTGTTCCATAACTTTTTTTTTATTTCATAATTTAAAGTTCAGATTCAAATGATGTATACTCCTTTCTATTTGTTTCTTAGAAAAGAGTGCGGCTTGAGTCTCTGTGTTCTATGATACTTCCAATCTATAATTCAGTGATGTTCATCTGAATTTTGACCAATTTACACACAGAAGAGAGCAATTTCTAATGCTGACATGTGTCTCCTACAACAACATGCCTCGTTAGGGCAGGAACTCAGGTTCCAAAGTACTCCTGGCTTGTGTCCAACCAGGAAAAAAAGTATGATATAGATCCAAGTTATCTCACCATTGGCATGTTGGCATTTTAACCACTATCCTCCAAGTCTTCATAACCAAGGCCTCAAATACATTCTAGCCAGTAAGTAATATTGTCAGTTTATTTGAGGCCCAATAAGGCTTTTATTGTTTCAGATCAATTTAAATCCCACCATTAAAGTCTTATCAGAAGCAGTTAAGTATAAGTTTATATATCAATCTATATTGTACTGTATATAAAATATTGTATTTGGAAATCAATACAAATGTATTTGTATAGCAATAAGCTGTTAATAAATGCATTTTTTTTTGTTTTGTTTTGTTTTTTACTATTTGCTTGCTGGGAGCAAATAGTTAAAACAAATAAGCCTGTGGGGGTCTGTATGACCCTTGCATTAGTGAAAGGGAGGTTTTTTTTATCTTCCCTCATGTCACCACTCACCATGTTGTGAGTGGGGGAACGTATGTTAAACAGTGAGCACCTAGTGCCTGCTCTCTGCCATAAAATACTAGGTTCAAGGCAGCAATTGCTGTGCAGTCACTTTTAACATACAGAGGAAACCTAACACAGGCCCTCCTTGTGCTTTCAACTGTGGGCAATTAAGAATGTAAAATAACCGGATTGCAAGAAAAAATAATTGGGGGGGAGAAAAAAAAAGTCTATGTTGGCCCATCCAGGGCCTGCATGGTGGAACAGAGCCCTTATAAGGGTTTACCCATGCTATACAATCTCAGTCAGAGCACTATGGTTGGTCTTTCTCAAGAGAAGTGAGACTTGCCTAACAGAGTGCTTTAATTGGCTGGCTTGTAAAAAACGTTATTCTTACATGAAGAAACAATGATTTTATCTCTAGTGTTATGGAGTTTAAAATGAGAACATTTGTTAATTGTGAAACTAGGTATGTGGTATATTTGATCATCTGCAGGGTGTGTCATATTCAATATGTGGAAAAAACAGGAAGAGCTTTAAAAGAGCTAATTAGAGAACACCCTCATTTGGAAAATAGAAATATTAGGACCAATCTAGATGGACAATTCGCACCATGATGCTGATCTTTTTGCGTTTTCATCTCAAAGGATTCACAGAGCGGGGATTCCAAGCAGAAGTGGTGATCTATCACACTTTCTGTCCCAAAGGCAAATGTTCTGAAACCTTATTTAACTGAACTCATTCTTGTATTAATCCCGTACTATGTATCCTATACATTGGGGGTAGAATTGAAGCTCTTGTGCATTTTAGTACTTCTTGCCTTTGAGATAGGTGTTGGGAGGGAGGGTGCACAGTTTAATAATTAGAGAAAATTTATTTGATAGCCTGCCTGAAGTCCATCGTATGCAGCATATTTGCTGTGGTCACTATGATTATCATGTAGCCAATAGTAATAATCTAGTTTATGGCAGTGGCGGATCCAGAGCCTGATCTCGGGAGGGGCACTTGTAGATTATTTAATTAAATAATCCAGGCACAATAACCACTACAGCTCAGTGTAGTAGTTATGGTGTCAGTAGTGCCAGGATTCCACCCCAGAGTAAGTAGTCATACTGTTTAAGAACAGTTTGACAACTTACCTGGGGTCTGCTGGGATATAGGGTATAGGAGCAGTGGTGTGTGTTAAGGGTGAAGTGTGTGAGTGCGGCAGTGTATGTCAGGGACAGTGTTTGTGGGGCAGTGTGTGCGTATGGGGGCAGTGTGTGTATGGGGGGCAGTGTTTGTGGGGCAGTGTG